GGTGGGGACCGTCATAGATAGCAACCTGGCGGTTTAGGGTTTAGGGTTTAGGGTTTAGGGTTGGTGGGGACCGTCATAGATAGCAACCTGGGCTGCAGCATCGTTCGAAGATAGAAGTCTGGGGCCCCTAATATGGGCCCTTAGGGGGATTCTAGGGACCCTTAAGGGAACGTATAGGGCATATAGTCGATATATAAGGATTCCAGCCTTAAGGGCCCATACTAGGGGCCAAGGCCCATGGGTTCAACCTTAGAGTCGTTGCCATACAAGAAACACTTTCGGAAGCTGCCTGTCTTCAGACTGGAAAAGGGTTATGGCTACCGTCGAACCCCAGCATAGTCTGTTTTGGAGATGCGACTGTCGCGTCTCTAAACCCTAAACCCTAAACCCTACACCGTATCCAGCGTTGCCAGCAGAAGCCGTGGCACCAACCCGGCCGGTGTGCCTTCGATGTGAAGTCGTGTGTAATCACACGCAGAGCTTTAACACCACCGCTTCACCCTCTATAAACTCCTGGGCCTTTTCGAGAAGCAAAGAAATGCCATCTAAAATCCCGAGGCTTCCCGAGATCTACAAGCCAGAACTTGCCCGACAATAGGGTGTAGAGAGAGAGAGAGAGAAGGTACGGTGTGGATTTTAGGCGCTAGGCTTCGCGCACAGTCAGGCAGATAGCACAGGCAAGTTGAAACACTTCTCTGTTTTTGCATGGTTCCCTTGCTTCCGTCTGTCGACCCATCCCAATGCGTTCGCACAGGGAACCCTGCAAATGACAGCCACCGAGGAGCCTCTAAGAGCTCTTGAAAGAAGCTTAGCCCATAACCACAAAGCCTAAGACCCAGAAGCCCAAAACCCTTGGACTAAAAACCCTTAACCCCTCAACTCCTTGATGTGCGGCAATAAGGCCTGCCTCTGAGTCTGCAAACTCTGGGCGATGCCTCCTTCGTGTCTGTCAGTGTCGGAAGAGGCGCCGTGGGGTTGCCGTAACTTCCATAGAAGCGCAAAATGCCCGCATGCCACAACAGCAAACCATGGAGAATACCAGCACGACTCATCCCTTTTCCAGCTTCCAAATTGTTGGACTGTGGTCACGATTCGGTTGTCACTCTAATTGATCTGCAACCTGGGCATAAACATGCTCCACATTGCTTCGGCTGTGTCTGCCATAGCTGTAGCTACTTCTAACCTTGCTACTATCATCTTTGTGTTAGTGCGGGCTGCGGAGCTCCTGCCGCTCCCACCGGCACTACCACCACCACTGCTTCAACTCGGCACGGCATTCTGCTTGCAACCGCTGCTGGAAGCATGACCGGAAGCAACAGTCTATGCACATAACCTAAGGTAGATGTACGAATGGATCAATGGTGGGATGGCTTCACGGAAGGTTGGCCCGAAGTCCCCATTCAGCTCCCCAGCCTCTGCTTAGTTCTCCGATAACGAATGGCCAGGTTTGTGCAAGAGTTTGGTTACTGTTCTTGCAAGTCTATATCATTGTTTATCCTCGGCAGCATCGGGGATCTAAGTCTCGAAGCGACGAATGGAGGAAGTTGCATGTCAGATGCCAAGCACAGGCTTTCAAGTCTTCGAGTGCGACAAACTCCGTCTAGCCTATATTGGCCCTCGGCTGAACGAGAAGGCCCGGGCAGGGCCCGCACACTTCACAGAATTTGTTCTGGAGCCTACTAGGTCAGCCAATACCTTAACCTACCAAAACCCACTTTTTTGTAGGTTCTTATTATACACCCAAATATGGGATTTATAGGGACCCGACCAAATAGTAGGTTCTGGTGGGTTAAGGTATACATTACAATTATACTCACCATTTGGACAAACATGTTGGGTCGAGGCAGCAACTTCGGAGGCCGCGAAGAGCGGAGCTTCGATGCTTTCTGACACCTTCGACGTAGGATGCTAAACCCTAAACCCTAATCCCTAAATCCCTAAACCCTAAACCAAGCCGTGTCGAAACCAAGCCGTAGACCGCAAATGCCATGAAAACCCGAAGCCCTTCCTTCATGAAGCTTACCTTAACCTACCAAAACCTACTTTTTTTGTAAGGTCCCCATAAATTCCATACTAGGGTTGATAGTAAGAGCCTACAAAAAAAGTAGGCTTTGGTAGGTTAAGGTAAAGCCTACCCCCAAACCCTGAAGCCCAGTCAGTCCCACTGTGAAGCTCCATCTCTGTTGTCCAAGTCACGCGGGTCTCTGTAAGTTGCAGTCTTTGGATGTCGGGTTGTCGACTTGGCCTTTGGGGTTTCGGATGTAGGGCTTATGAAGTGTGGGACTTGTTGAGTTCACTGTGTATAGCTTCTGTCAACACCTCATTGAGGTCTACCAACACTCCAGTCCAAAGAGTATGAAACTGAAGCGGAGACTGAGCCCTGCTTGTAAGCCGGTATTTGCATCACAGACTTCCACTCTTTTTTGCAGATTCGGGCCATTACGACGGTGGGCGAGACCGTCATCACTGCCTTGAAGCTTGATATCGATTCTTGGTGAAGGTGAAGAAACCGATGGAAGTCAGCCGGGGTCGTGGGCAAAGTCTTGTAGGCCGTGGGAGGTTGCATGCGAACCAAAGGGAGTTGACCCGTGACGGAAGGACTCGGAGCACTATGCAGCAGCTTTATGGCTAAGAGTTTGGGTGACATGACCTGATCTCTGACAACCTCAGCCCTGCCGCACGAACACTACCAGAGAATCAAAAGATTGCCCGGAACCCCTGAACCCTCAGGAAAGGGTCAACGATCATGAGGTTCGCCTACTGGCGGAGCTTCTTTTCCTTTGGTGTTCAAATCTAGGGTCCATCATAGTCTTGACAGGCAACTCCAGAATGAATAAGTCGTCATCCTTTGGATATGACGGATATGAGCTCTGAAGCCCTCAAACAGGGCTCGTCTAAGGTCGTGTGGCATCGTGTCACAGAGATTGGACGCTTGCGTGGGCACCACAGCTCTGCGACTGTACTGCGCCTCGGCTCTGTGGTAGAACCAGACCAGAGAACTCCATGCTCCTGAAACATCATTGGGATATATGTAGACGTATGTGTACGTGTGAATATGTACCTGTACATTTTCTGTTACACACATGCATTTCTACATACGGGTTTGTGTATATGCGTTATAGGGGCATTGCTCCTCCAACGGTCTCGGTTTCTACGCTTTGAAGCTTTAGGGGTTGAGTCTGTCCTTGTGCTTTAGAAATCTAGAGTTCGACGTTTAAGGGGTTTTAGTGCAACGCAAGCTGGATGCAACATCAGACTGCAGCTCACGGAAGCATCAAGATTTTGGTGTTTTCGCAAGGGCCACTGCCACTTCATGCCTAGAGAGCAGATGCCAGTGTCCTCAGTCAAGGAGGAGACCTTAAGTTTATAGCAATGGGATTGATACAATGGAAGGTATCTTTATAGATGGGGTTTAGGGTTTAGGGTTTAGGGGCTCCTCTGGGTTTGGCTGGCGTTGGATCCCGCTTGAGCGTCTACAGCAGACAGGGCAGCCAGCTTGGCAGGATGCCTTTTCCCCTACAGTGTCAGAGACTCACGGAGGAGCAACGCCCAGATCGTTGTCGGGCATTCTCACGACAAGCTATCTCGTGTTTTGGTGTTTTCCTGAAAGTTTAAGACTTTGTTCCAGAGGAATCTTGAGAAAATGACGCGCAGGGAACCTGTTTCGAACATTGGCCTCATTATATGATTGGCGTACCTGAGTTCCTTGTTTGTGTTACAGTTGTGGTATTACAATAGTAACCCAGTGGGTTTTGGAATTCAGGCATACGGCTTATACGAGTCAAGCGATATTCCCTGGACCCGGTTTGGAGGCTCAGGACAGTAACAGTCTGCCTGCTGTAACTGTATCTGCACCAGTCCCATCCGAGAGATCGACTGCAGCAACAAGGTTTCCGTATTCTGGCATACATTCGTCCTTGCTGCGTAGGCCAGTCTCGGAGACTTGAAGATTGCAGATTCCTACCATTTAGGACGAGAAGTCGTTGGTCATCGTTCCTATCTGCTTCAAAAGATCCAGGTTGTGCGAGAAATCTTGCTCGGGGCCAGAAGCATCCTGCCTCGCCTGTGCATCGATGTGGAGCTGCTACAACTTGGACTCTGTGGACAAAATCATGTGGGACTTTCCGAAAATAAGGGGTACCTTATTTGGGGGTCCTTATAATCAGGATCCTACTGTTTAGGGTACTATATTACCGTCCCCTATTCTCGGAAACCCCCATGTCAAAATGCAGCAATAACTGCTCCAAGGGCCAACTCTTCTCTGCACTGGACTTGAGGTGCTTCACTTGCCTGACCATATGGGTGGTTGTCAAGATTACGGTCCCCTTTTGGGTCCTTATTATAATACGGCACCTATTATTTAGGGTACCCCAAAAGGGACCATAATTTTGACAACTACCCATATGGACCAGCTCTGACGACTATTATGAAAGAAGCCCACGCGTCGTGATGGAGAAGTGTTCAAACAAATGTCCAAAGGCTTAGAGTCCACGCACCGTCCGTAGAGCTTCCAAGCGAAGCTGCGCAGATGCGCAGCAGATGCACAGTGAAGAGGGAGCTAACGGCGCTGGCCGAAATCCCCTTTAACTGTGTGGTTGGATCCTGGCATCAGCTCGCGATCTCCGGGTGGTCGTACCCCGCAAGAAAACCTGGAGCAGGCGTAAGCCCTTCTTGCGGAAATCTCTCTCAGAAGGCTAAATCCAAGATTGCTGTACTCGGCCAACTTTTACCCCTTGCGTAGTAGCCTTATGTCCTTCCTTTTTCGGCAGGGAAAGAGTTGGAAGCTAAACCTCGAGAGCCTTCAGAGGTGTCCACTCGGGTCGAGTTTCCTCATCTCTGCCGCTGGAAGCGAGGTGATTGTGCCGCCCGGACATGAGCTTAGGGGCCGGCGTTAATGAGCTTTGGGGGTTTTAGGGTTTTAGAATTCAGGTTCTGGGGTTCTGGGTTAAGGGCTGCTTGAGGCTTGAAAGCAGCTTGCTGGCGGGAAGATGTATGTAACCCAACTCACTGGGAAGTCGCTTGGCTTAGTCGGTTGATCCTCCATGCAGGGTTGTCCAGGATAAAGTGTTTTTCTCCAGGTTTGAAGTATTTCACGTTTCTGGGTTTCCAGGCTAGCGGTTAGTGCCGTTCAGTCAGAGTGGATGAGGTGTTGCTCCCCATTTTGCTGAGCTTTATGTACGGCTTCCTTGACTTGCGTGCGTACCGCTTACTACCACTTCGATGCTGTTTCGATTTGTCTGCGGTGTAACTTTCTCTCTCGTACCGATCACCGAGACCCCGCGAACGTACATGGGCAGTTCTCTAAATTAAAGTCCCTTCGGGGGTCCTGTACTATTTTTGGGACCTAAAGAAGGACCCTATTTTAGAGAACTTCCCGCATAGAAGTGAAGTCCGAATCCTCAATTCTAAGCCGCATTCTTGGCCTCGACCAAACCCGAGAGCCGATCCCCAGAGACCCGCACCTAATCACAAAGGAGCTCACTAGAAGGGCTTGGGGTACTACAGTAGCAGGCACCAGCACGAAATGGGAGTTTCCGAAAATAAGGGACCCTAATATAGTACCCTAAATAGTAGGACCCTTATTATAAGGACCCCAAAATAAGGTGCCCTAATTTTTGGAAACTCCCAAATATCCTAAAGCTGAGGTGAGCATCTCCTTGCCTCAGTTGTAGTCTGCTTGTTTGCCAGCCACACAGAAACTGCTGAACTCGTAGACCCAGCCCGGATCCCCTGCCTGCAGCTTAGATCTTCGCCTCCATACGGCTGATGGACAAAATCCTGCATGACCTTATATACCTATACTATGGGATTTCTGGTACTATACTATATGGGGGTTTCCGAAAATAGGGGACCCTAATATAGTACCCTAAATAGTAGGATCCATATTATAAGGACCCCCAATAAGGTACCCCCTATTTTCGGAAACTCCCATATTTGGATCATGCAGGATTTTGTCCATCAACAGTACCAACACACCCGCTAGTCCAACTCCTGGAGCCCTAAGCCCTGCACCTTCCTCTACTTGGATCATGGGGCTTAGTAATTAAGGTTATAAGTCCCTTAATTGGGGTTATAAGTATAGTTACCTTAGTTATAACCCTACTTACTAAGTCCCATGATCCTTTAAGTACACCCTCAACAACAGGTTACCAAAAACCTTCTAACCTTATTAGCAGCAGGGCAATATGCCTGTATATGCAAAGGGACCTCAGTGGCCGTGGAGTTATGTTTAGCCCTCATCTGCTGGTTCTTTCACAGCAGAGGCCAGTCAAGAGTTCCGTATGGCTAATGCTCTGAATCCTCCAGTGCATCATAATAAGAGGGAGTATGCCATCCTTCCCATAGTTTAGGGTCCTTACGTTGAGGCTGGGAAGGATTTTTTTGCTCGTCAACAGTAGCAAGGGGCCATGTTGAGTATTTTCCTTCCTTGGCCTTACAACGATCCCTGATTTCTGAAGATTGGTCTGGCTGCTCTTGGGGCCGGGGAGCTTTAGACCGAAGTTACGACAAATATGAGCCACTGGGTAGATATGGGAGTTTCCGAAAATATGGGGTACCTTATTTTGGTGTCCTTACAATAAGGATCCTACTATTTGGGGTGCTATATTAGGGTCCCCTATTTTCGGAGACCAACCTTTACTACACTGTTCTTCAGTTCGTAGCGTTGAGTTATTGAACCCACATGCCCCCAAACGCCGTTCGCGATTTCGGCATGGAAATACTCGGTAGCAGGTTTAGTCTATGTCAACCTTCTTGGTCATATAGAAACCTGTCTTAGTCTCTAGTAGAACAGGGAACTCAGCAACCAGTAACCGACGGAGTTTGCAGATCGACTTTTTCGGGCCCTACATCTCATGGGGCTTCCGAGTTCGAGCGTGGCACTGAAGGCTCGGGTGATGGAAGCCCCATAATCAACCGTAAACCGTAAACAGTATACCCGTGCCTTATACGCAGACCTCAAACACAAGCCTTGCACGGGTCTTAGTTTGGGGCGACCCCAGGTGGCCCTTGACAGAGCTGGGAAGCGAGAAGGCTACTGCTGAGGCTGGTTTCGGGTGGAAAGTGATGGGGTTGAGTGTGTTTGAGAGAAAAGGTGTTCGGGCCTTTGGATTTGGGATTTCGGGCTTCAAATGGCTTAAGGTGTAGGGTGACATTCGGGGTCATTTTTGCGCTGTAGCGGCTGACCAACCGACCTACAGTATGATCTATCTACGATTTATTGGTGACTTTGCAGATGTGGTATAGGGCACTTCAGGACATGAGGCTTAGGGTGCTGGCGCAGAGAGGATTGGTAGCGCTCGTTCCACTTAGTCTCCCGTGTGAATGTATGCCAATGTATGCCTTCGGCCCACTATTGCAAGTCTCGATGGCGTCACGCAAACAAACAACTGGCTAACCTCTCTCAATCCCCTTGGCGCCCTTTGCTCAGCCACAGTGCCTTGCCATAATGCCCAAATCCTACACTCGAAGCCTGAAGTAAATTTAGACTCCTGATTCCGAGTCCCCTCCCGTCCTGGTTAATGCGCACTATGAAAAGGCAAGAGGCAGCAAGGCAAGCATTATGAAGTGGATCCTACATGAAGGCTTCTGAAGACAGACGGGGTTCACATGTCCAAACGGCGTTCTTGGCAAGTCCCTGGAACTCTTTTTGGCTCGGAGGATTCTCGGAACCGCTTTGTGGTCAACTGGGTAACCTTTTACGTTCTGTTTGGGGCTTAGGAAGGTCTGAACCCGAACCCTCAACGGGTTCGTCTGGGTTTTCAAAGCCCTTTAGACCAGCATGGGGACTTCAAGACGTACATGTATCAGGGAGCCCGAAGTAATGATATTGCGACTATTGCGGCTCCGTTAGTATGTTCAAAGGTTCAGGCCCCCATGGTCCTCGGGCACTCAGGTGACATGCTGCCAAACCCGCGCGCAGAGGATGGAGACTCAAAGTCAAGTATTCGCCGTCCCAGGAACTTTGCTAGAAACACCCTGAAGTCCAAGCCGAATACATAGGGTCTCTCGTCGCTCAATGCGTTCCGGAGGATGGCGTGGTCGCACCCCTTGGGCGCTTGAATCTGGGGGAGTTTGGCGCGGTGACCTGCGTCCTGGCGGCAGCGCCGGTTGCGCACAGCCCAGTTCTTGCCGGCTGGTTCTCTAGAATCTACTTAAAGGATCATGGGACTTCGTAAGTAGGGTTATAATTAGGGTAACTATACTTATAACCCCAATTAAGGGACTACTGACTAAGTCCCATCATGCTCCAAGTAGGTCCCCCCCTCCCCCCCGGATTTACGCGGTCGAAGATCGGGGCCTGGAGAATCAGGGCGTTCTTCAGGCTCATGACCTTTGTACTATAGGGGCCTACATAATTACCTGGGGTTCCTCATTCTAAATATAGGATAATATACCCCCCAAACCCTGTTCTGAGTATGAAGGCCCCTAAAAACCTACACCCTTCAAGTAGCCCTTATAGAACCCTTTCAAGGAACCATTTAAACCCCCAAAACCCTATTCTAATTCTTAAGGCCCCTATATTACCCGAGGTGTGCGCCACCCTCCAACCTACCTTCACAAGGCGCCAAGGGGCTCTGATGCCATGATAAGCACCACAGGTTGTTCAGCTTCAGAAGCCCTAACCCGCTTAGCTTTCCAATACCCAAGCTTTCAAAACTTTTCGAGTTCTTATGATTTAGTAGTAACCTGAAAGTTTAATCTTCTATTTCCGTGGCTTGTTGGGGAAGTAAGCCCGAATTCAGTGCGAGTTTGTGAGCCTGGTGTTGATCATGACCCCACTTTCTGCTAGAGCCACGAGCCAGGAGAGCGGATAGCCCGCTGTCCGAAGCATCATCAATTCCCCTTAGTAGCTGAGTGAGTACACTTAAAGTTTACACTTTTTTGGAATATATGATCCCTTATAGAACTGAAAGTGTACACCTTTTGAGGCTTATGAACTCAGCAACCAAGTCCCCCTTCCACGATGTTGCAGCTGGCTTCCTCTGTAGTCCAGCAGCTAAGCCCTAGCAGTCCAACTGTTGGAGGTCGTGTTCATTGCTGGGGTTCCTTTATTTTTCAGCACGATTCCTGATACTGCTACTACGACGACGAGGACGACTACTGCCGCGACTAGGGTAGCAGCCAGCAGCGCAGCACCGCTACTCTGTGCCTTTAGCTGCAGCGGGTATCTGGCTTTTGGGGTATAGCCGTTCTGCCCTGGGCTTGGGGGTGAAGGGCTTCAGCGACCAGGTTTCGCCGCAAGCTTCAGTTCAAAGCCCCCAAAAGACGCCTGAGTTGCCACGAGCGCCCCAAGAACCAACCTAAACCCTCAACCCCTAAACCCCTAAACCCCTAAACCCTAAACCCTAAAAGCTTAAGCTCCGCAGGTCTTGATCGCTGGGGCGACTGGCGGCATGGAGTTGCCCGGACGGAGATTTCCTGGCCTCGAAGTTTGCATCGGCCCTGGGTTCGGGGTTAGGGGTTTAGGGTTCGATGAAACCATACTGTTAGAGGCACTTCAGAGAGACCTCGTTCAAAAGGGGTTTAGGGTTTAGAGGTTGTAGATTATGCACGTGTAAA